ACACCGCTTTTGTACACACACACATACACCGCCGATCGTTGCTACCAGTCGCGACAACTGGTCACACACGTACACACATACACATACACATACACGCACTCACACTCTGTACTGAAACACACCAAATATATATTATCGTTCATACTTAGCCGAGCCGTATTTTACTGCATTATTACCGCCTTGTCTCTCTCCTCCTGCCCGAACCTCTTTGCGACCCTGGCCGCAGCCCGTGACCGACGAGCTACGTCCGCGCAAAGTAAGGTTGTTTCAAGTTTTTGACGAGATTTCTCTTAGTAATGGTTTTCACTATGAATCACATAAACAACAAATTACTGGTTTCGAAAACTTAGGTGAATTGGGTCGAACACATAGGGCAGCAAATCATGCTCTTGTTTTCATGTTACGTGGTCTGAGGAAATCATAGAAACAAGTCATTGCTTATTATTTTACGGCTGGTACAATTTCTAGTAGCAATCTGAAGTCGATAATAACGAATATCATTGAACAACTTCAGGAGATAAATCTAAAAGTAAAAGCAACTGTTTGTGATCAAGGTTCCATTCAGAGAAAGGCGCTATCAGAATTATGTTTAGAAAACACTATGAACCCAACTTGTTGCACGTTTGTCGTTAAGTCCGAAACTATTGTAACTATTTACGATGTTCCCCATTTATTAAAATGCACACGGAATGCTTTGCTCAGATGTAACATTAGATTCGCGGAAGATAAAGTAGCAAAATTTCAATATATCAGAAATGCTTTTGATGTTGAACTCAATTTCAGGTAAAACTACAGAATAGGGGACCTCCCTCCTATGACCTTGACATATGTTGTCAAGGTCATGACCCTGAGTAACTTACGCCAAGTTTTAGCCGTCGCTCGTCCTTCGTTGAAAAGTTATTAACAAAAGAAGTTCAGCTATATATGTAACACGAGAATTCTCTACTTTACAATATGGTCATGACCTTGACAACATATATCAAAGAGTCTCACCTTCAACTCTCACCTTCGAGTCTCACCCCCCCCCCTTACCCCTGCTCCGGAGGCGCACGACTCTCCACACGAAGTAAGGGCTACCTTTCGCCAACAAATAAATAGTTTGGTTAGAAATTCGTGTACTATAAATGCATATTGAACAGCACAGTAACTGTGTATCAGTAACAAATATGACTCTTGTTGCACCCTTGGGTGAAGGATACAGATAGGGGATTCGCCGAGGACCAGGACGCACAAATAAACCACTCAATACAAAATAACACTTTAATAACTTTAGTAAATTCTTACAAGATCACAATTAAATATTATGTGTTATGACCTGTACTATTGCGATTTCGCGTCGGCCCGATTTTGGTTATAAGATAAGTTCGTGTTGACTTTATTAATCGGTTCGACTTATATTTTATACGCGTGAGCTGTTGGCGTACGGCGTTGTCTCGGATAACAGCTGATAATAGACTCTTCTGCTTTGCCAGTATGTCACGGTTAGAGACCTAGAAAACAGAGATGCGTTTTTGCGTCGGTTGGGTTAGGTAGCCACCGCTATTTTAATTCAATATAAGTACTCTTAACCTTATAAGTTGATGACAGTTGATGCAAAAGGTAAAGAAGGTTAAATTGCTAGAAAAAGAAAAAAGTATTTCCTAAATAAAATTACTGTAAGTAATATTTTTTTAGACCGTATATGAGAAACACAATCAGAAGTTTGAAATGCCTATTACGGTCGACGCTGGATCTTCGTTGCTTAAATCTTTATCCAATTAAGCATGGCTTTACTTTTGCTACTGTATGAAGTGTTCCTTTTTTTTGTTGTTCCCTTTTCATTTGTCCGAACTGTTTATATCTCATACTAAAATATTGTCGTAATAGTTTGGTTGTTACGTTGTGACATTGGGGTACAATAGATGCCCATACATATTGTAGGGATTGTACAAGTGTATCATACACATTAACTTTTTCGGTTCTCAGGAAATCTTCTCTAACTATTCTAAATGTAAGTTCAGCTTTCCATATTGCTTTGAATGCTTCTTCAGATACTTGGGTTAAACAATTATCTTTGTAAGCATTTAATGTTGTGAGGAGTCCATATGTGGCTCTTTCTCCTGCCATAACAATGCGTTGTAACACGTATCACATATTGTATATACTTTTTTTACACTATTTAATGTACTTCCTGCCATATCATATAATATTTATCTCTCCCACATTGAGAAGTAGGAAATATTTTCATCAGCCACACTAGGAATTTCTATACAAAGATTGAGTTCAGGATTATTATATTTTGTACATTGTGAATTTGTCAAAAAATCAAGAGTCATTTCACCGTCGTCTGCATCATAGCTACTTCTTTCGATTGTACAAAATTGTGCAATTGAAATAGCTTTTAGAAGATTTTTAAACATCAAAGCATTGGGTATTGCTTGACGAAATCTGATACAAGAAAAAAGATTTTCTAAGAAATCTTGTGTGAATCTTCCAGTCAATAAAAATTTTAATCTTCCTTCATCAAGAAAATATTCTTGTAAATCTAAAATAGTAGTCGTAGCAATCAGGACTCCACACTGCACTGGTTTCCATCGTAAATCTTTTCCAATAGTCATTCCAGAAAATGTTCTCATAGTTAGTTTTAAATGAGATATAGCCTTTTCATATGCTTCTTTATTATTTTTATTTAATACTAAAGTATAATATCTTGAAGTCATCAAATCAAACCAATGATTAACCAAACGTACAAACCAAGCAGTTGTGATGTAAGAAGAATCTTGTTTTACAAGTGCTAAAAGTTGAAGAGCAGACGATGAACGCTGGCAAAAGATGGATTTAGAAGTGGAAACTTTCATCTTATTAAAATGATTACTTTTATCTAAATTTTCTTGTTTCATTCTATAAGCAACTTTAAGTTCCAAATTTTCCTCAGTATTACAGATTTCAAGAAAATGTTCCAATTTAACTTCATTTGAAGGAAGATTTTCAGATTCTACAATATCCTGTGGCAAATAAAGGACTTTATTGTTTACAATCACTAATCTAATGGATTTAAACAGATGAGGGACATCTGGCATTATATATAATCGAGATAAAGATCTAACAGGATGAGACATACTGGATATCACTTCAGATCGATTTGCCATGATGCCAAAAGCCTTCCACATGCTTCTATTGTCAGGACCCATATCACTCACAACACAATGAATATGTAGGCCAATTCTTTCACCACAGTCTATGATATCTTTGATTACGTTTGCATATGCTTGTCCTGTAGCACCTTCGTTTGTATCTTTTACTTTAGAGCCAGTTAGGTGAAAACAAACAGCTTGTTTCCATCGAACAGTAATGCCACCAAGAAGAAAGACCAAAACTTTGTTTGCGACACCGGAATGAGAAGCAAGCGTAGTTTTTCCGATAAATTCCTTTGTACTAGGATCAAACATTTCTCCCTGGTTCAATAGACATTTCATCCAATGCTAGTACACTATCTTTCCAATCTTCTGTATTATGTATAATTTCTTCCGCAAGTAAATCAAAAGTTTGTTGTAAAATTCCTGGTCTGAATTCAATATGTTCTATTTTTTTTTGTAAAGTCCGGATAGATAGTAAAGGAATATGCTTTTGTACCTCTTTGTATCCTGATGATCCACATTTTAATCTTAAAATTAAAGCCTGTTTCACAGTATTTGGTTCCCATTGTAAATCTTATAGCGTTTTCGATTGGGCAAAATTTAGTGCGCACCAGTGCGCACTCAGTTCACACCAACACTGGACGAATTCCATGGGTTGCACTGAATAGTGCAAGTTCAAAAGAATACGCCAAGATTTTCAGTGCTAAAGCTGAAACTCATTTTTGTTCACTTTGAAGCAATGTTCAACAAAATGTTACAAAACTACAGTAAAAGATATTAAGAATAGGGACAAGACCCCGTTTTCAATTCAACTGCGCAGATTTGCTTGTCCCTATGTATATCCTTAACTGTGATAAAACGTGCACTGAACTGGCACCGTCAAAATATCTCGTGCCACTTAGTGCGCACTGAGTGCGCACTACGCGAGTGTCGTGCGATCAAATGAACACGTGACACTAGCCAAGTGCGCATTGGCACTGCCAATCGAACACGCTCTTGACACTGAGTGCAGCCAGTGCACCCCAATCGAAAACGCTATTAGTAATTTTTTCTGTAAATTGCCTTCTTTTGATCTTTATGCAAGATTTGCAATACATTTTCATCTATTTTTTTTTTATATTAGTAAAACTTTCTTTTTCTCGACGTAACTTTGTATTGCTCTTTCGTAGCGTCTCATTTTCTTGATGCACCTTATCAGCAATTTTCTTAACTCTTGCCAATTCTTTTTTTAGTTGCTCATTTTCCTTTTTTAAAGACACAGTCATATTATCTATATTTTGCTCTTTGATAGTTTGAACAGTTACAGCATTGTCAACTTCTTCCATCAATTCCGAAAGACTATTCAAAGCATTACTTGGTGTAATAGTACATATATTTGTAGGTACATCTGAATTATTTAATATAATATCAGAGTTTCCATTATCAATAAGATCTGACTCAACTTCTGGTGTTTTTGATATGTTCTTTTCTATCGTATTTGTTGAAGTACTTACAGACGTTTTGTTTATCTGAAAATATAAAAAAATTGAATCAAAGACCAGGAATTTTTTTATTTACTAGAGTGTGTGATGATTATAAAAATTCAAAGATAACAAATGTATGAAAATATCAAAAAATAACTTACAGAACTATCAGCAAATGTCAATAAAGTTTTATTATTGGAGACTGCTTTATTTGAATATGTGTGATCACAACCAAATAAATGTGATTTATTTGTTTCCATCTGTGTGTATACGTACATATATATAAAACACATATATTTATACTTAATATTTATAATTAATATTTAAAATTAGCATATATCTTCAAAATTAGAAAGATACTGATGACAAATTTAAAAAATATAAAAAATAAAATGTTTATAATATTTTCTTTTGATACGTGTAGACTTACCGGTAAAAATGTCCTTGTGTTAGTAATATCTTTCAATGTTCGTGAATAGATGTGATCATTTGCAGATATCTGCGCAAGATTATTAAAAATAGAAGGCACTGCACCGAATTTAAGCTTCCTCTTCCCATCCTCTCTAATTTTCTCCCAAGAAGAAACGTCAAAATGCTTCTGGAAAAAATATTATAAAATCATGAAACAAAAGAAACATCTTATAAAAAATATTTTAGCTATATAAGTTATAACTCACAGAGCATACAACTGATGAATTCATAGGCTGCCAAGAATATCCATTTATTTGTCTCACATTAGTGATCCACATATTTCTTATGTCAGAATTTGATGGGAAATAACGAAAGCAAAGAAATGAATTTTCTTTTTTTTGGTGTTTCCCTTTTTTGTATACATTTTTACAGCCAAATACACAGCACTTCCTGCATAAAAAAAAATCTCTAAAGAGTCATAAAATCAACACAGCTTTCAAAAAAAGGTTAGGTTAGGTCCGATACTAAATATTCACACAAATAAGAATACTTACACCATAATAATAGTTTTTTATTGCACTTCGACACTGTATTGTCTAAATTTTTTGTCTATGTATGTACATACGTTATAAAACTATATCTTATATTAGGTCTGTTTGCGTTGCTTGCACTTTTTGCACTTGGCATCTTCGCTTTCTCTCTTTTCAAAACTAAATATATATCTATCTCATTTTAAGTGCAAAAATAATTGAGAATTTCATACAACGCGAACAGACCTATTGATGCATTAAATGCAATAGTGAATTAAAATGGCGCTCTGATCACGTGATTTAGACAGCCAATCAGACCATACCCTTCAATAACGCATCTCTGTTTTCTAGGTCTCTAGTCACGGTTAATATACTTGCTTGAACTGCTGACTGGACTTGCACTTCGGTCAGCTGTTCGAGCGGATTTCGGTTGCTCTCATTTTTAATGTGGTCATTGCTGACACTTGCAACCTGATTTCTTAATCTGACGGGCAATATTATAGCTTCCGTCTTTCTGCAACTTGCGAAGAACAGCTTGCGTTATTTGCGTGCTGCTTCCGCAAAATTGTATTTTCGCAATTGAACTAAAGTAGGCAATGAGTATGCTGACTTTTCGGAAGTCCGTACAACGCGCGGGTGTAGATTATGAGGAGACTTTTAGTCCAGTAATTAGGTTCGACACCATAAGACTTGTAATTACTTTGGCGGCTCTTAATGGTTTAACTATGCGTCAATTTGATATTAAAGCCGCATTCTTGTACGGAACGCTGAACGAGGATATTTACATGCGACAACCGGATGGATTTGATGATGGGTCAAATCGAGTATGTAAACTGTTAAAAAGTCTTTATGGACTTAAACAAGCGCCTAGATGTTGGGGCGAACACTTTACGAATAGGCTATTATTCCTAACAAGCCTAAAACTATTATTCCATTTATTGCTATAGTGTATACAAATTGTTTTTGTTGATAGAAAGGTATTCGATTTTGTTCTAAATCATTATTTATTTTTCTAATTTGGACGCTTAAGTCTCTTAACTCTGCGGGGTTTCGCAAAATTTGTTTTAATTTTATTCGATCGGTACTATTTTCTATCGGCACTTGGTCGCGTAATCTGGAG